CGGGTGATGCCCATGGAGAATTCGATGGTTCGATTTTATCATTGTTCAGCAATTCTTTCACTTCTTCCGTAACTATTTTATTTTGCTTGTCGGTCTTCCGACCGTAATAATTTCCAACTGGTCGATTATTGCCAGTATCGATTGCATGTCGAACCGTTGTTTTAATAACCGACGATTGTTGGGTGTCAAACAATTTTTCCATATCGCCACATGGTCTTCTGAACTTGTTTGACTTGATGTGTGTTGAGATATGAGGTCAATTGTTCAATTTCGTCCCTGATTTCTTGTGAATGACAATTCTCTTGAAGATGAATATGTAGTTGACTCCGCGATGAAAACTTTTGATAACACTGTCGACAACGATTGTTCGTGGTAGAATGTGTGCTGGTGTTTTCCGTGTTTATTGGCGCCAGTTTCGGTAAAATGGTACAAATAGTAGAAGGAGTAAGATACGATATTCTTCCAATGACTGTGTTTCGTGATAACATATGCGGTCGATCATCAGCATTCATCACTAACACTTTTGTTGAAAAATGTTTTACTGCTAACAGTCTGCTAGTTGCATACAGATGTTTTATTCCCTGAAATTTGTGGGATGGTTTGAATATCATATTGTCAGATTTTTCAACTTGCACACCCACGTCGATGAGTTTTTCTTCGCCTGGTCGAATAATCGCTTGATTAATTAATAAAACTGGATACTGAATGTGTTCAGGATCTTCGAACTTAAGTGAAATTGATGTTCCTTTAACAAAAACTCTTCGATCAGCACCGTCGGTATTTATTTTATTCTTCTGTATCCAGTCATTTCCTAATAGTACATTGGTAACCAAATTTGTTGAGACTTCAGCAGTTACATAGGTGCGAAAAGAACCTATGTCGACAATGAGATCAACTGTACCGGTTGTATGGAACGCAGTATTTGTAGCTGTCATGAATGTGTTCGCACTTTTCTGCATTTTATGATGTCGTAAGTGTTTTAAGACGTTCTGATGGATAATTGTTGTGGCAGCGCCCGTGTCGACAATGGCTGTTTGCGGCGTGTTATTGATGCGAACTTTGATAATAACTGGACACGCTGACGATGATGGCTGCTGTTTTTTCATGGGCACACCGCCATCAGGTGCCCTCGCTACTCGTTTAAATGGTTTTGTGGACAACTGTAAACCCGATGGTCCGATAGCCCACATTTAAACAACCATTGTGGTTTTTATGCCAACAATTAATTGTTCGATGATTCGACCATCCACAGATTAAACAAGGTCGTAACGGGGCTGCTGCTTGCCTTGAATCCATCTTTCCGGTTGTGTCTGTCGCGATTGCTGTCGATTGAAACGATTACTATTCGAATAAATTCGTTGTGAGCCGAGTATCTTCCGTTCAGATCGAAAATCTGAATTATTAATTAAATAACGCTGTTGTTGCGTGCCTTGTGGCTGCTGCTGACTCTGTGTACTTGCATTGTTATTATACGAATTAGAGCGTGGTGGCATCGTAAAAGAAATGCTATTAAACTATTGTCATATGAGAAATATTGTTGTTGATTAGTTTTGCCGGTGGCAACAATTTTTTCGAAGATTCCTCCGATAGTGAAATTTTTAAAAACTCTGCTGAAGTCTGTGTGTCTGCTGCATTGAACTGTCGTAAAACTTGTTCGCGTAACTCAGGTTTTATGCCTTGCGTCAGTTTTGCCAAAACATACGACTCAGGTAACCCGTTTGGAAATGATTTACAAAGACGTGTCAAGTCATCGTAAAAATTTTGAACAGATTCGTTCGGTTGTTGTTTCCTTAGAAAAAAACTCTGAAATAGTCACTGAGCACGCGTCTGTGAGAAACAGTTGCCTTTCTCGTGCAATGACTCCTAGGTTAAATATTTTACATAGTAAGCAATCGAGTTTTTTTCATTGATAGATAGTTCCAAGTGTCTTCTACAAAATAAGACCTAAATAATGGTTTCACTTTGCTTTGTTCAGGAGTTCTGGACGTTTTTACCGGGGCCATAGGACTGCTTCATGCTTCGTTCAGGACTTTCTGAAATCATGAAAACATAGATCATCGAACACGCTAAATCTCATGGCAATGTTAATTTTCAGAAGAAAGTGCAAGAATGGAGTAAAAGTCTGTACTAGGCGAATAACCCATTTTGGACTATTTTCATCAAAAACTAAAAAATTTACAACTCAGTCAAAATCCTATTCTTTTGAAAGATAGCGCTTGAAAAGCTGATTCGAACGATGTATCGTTTGGTTATTTTCACAGAACTGTTGATTTGCAAATAAAAATGTAAGTCGCTGAACTGTCCATAGACGGCGTTAATTAGGATTGATTGATGGTTAATCTATATCCCAGCATCGCTTTTTCTATAATATCTTAAATGCGATCATGACTAAAAATGATTCGCGATCAAAGTACACTAGAATCATGTTCATATAATTAGTTTTGATTAAACAGTTAAGTTTTTAAAGAAAGGCCTAGCAATTAAAGTTTTTGCTAAAATTTTATCTTAATTAATTTATAACTCCGTGAATACTTATCAGCTCTCCGAAACAATGCTTATGCAGTCGTGTATTTTCTATAATCTGAGAAGGTTTAATAGTACCTTTTGTGAGGGTCCGTCCCCCTTAACTTAAATCATCTTGAACAAGATTGTCAACTGAGCGGACAAACCATTCACTGTAGTATCCTTTTTATCACTACAGTCAATGGTTTGTCTCCCGCCGGTTGGCAGCCTTGATGAACTATATTTCCTATTAGGTTTGAATATTTGTCCTTATTTCCTAATAGTTAGAAATGTAAATGTTTATATTAAATACCCTAAAACTCTAGCTCTCTTCTACTTATAGGTGTACATAATTCCGACCATTACTATGGTATTATAGACTACATTTGAATGGTTGGAACTACATAATCGCTATTAGGAAACGTGTGACATTCACTATTTTAATGTACTCACCCAAATGGTCTGCCTTACTCACTGGTTTTTTATCCGCACCAGAGTGAGCATTGTCTTCGTCATTATGATGTTAACATACATTCCACAATCAAAGCGAACAGTCAGTTCTCAAGTTCAAAAGATTCATAAGCCATATCGTGTAAACGATTAAAAATTGTTTATGTTTTGGGGACCGTTTGTATGTCTGTTTCTGTTTGTCGATAGTACTGATATCTGCGATGTCTATGGGCAAATAACAAATTGTGCTGAAGCACTTGTCAATCCATTTCTTGCTCTTAATAGCTGCTTTATTCAAGCACTGCACCGATGCTAGAGACTCACAACAGTTAAACGCCAGACACGAATGCGACCTGTAATACTGGACTGGATGACTCACGCTAATATATAGAGTTGATCACAAATACTAAACTATGGCGTCGCCTACAATTGAAATTCGTTTTCTAGCGTTTTGTAGGTGAATGACAGTTATCAGAGAAACACCGATTGTCATCCAGATGTAAATTTAAATTCTGCAGATGTCAAGTATTGTCGGAATTCTTGGTTATCAAAACTGGATGCGTTTGTCAATTGTGAAGTACTTGAAAGGAACAGTTACACATGCCGTTCTGATAAATTTGTAACTGATACACAAGACTTGAATACATATTGTCTTGTAAAATTAACAGTATACTATTTTTTATCCGAACGTACATGCTTTAGCGCCCTGTCACCTTGAAAATTATTCTACTTTTTAGTTTTTTTTACGAAATTATATTATTTCTGACTGAAACATATTAAGAAGATGTCTTTACACTATTACAATATCCGTCGTAGTATGGAAAGTTCCACTGACGTTTAATACTAAGAATACGCGAAGTACAGTGAAGAAGTTGAAAGGAAAGCCCATATGACGGAGGAGTAACGTAGAAAAGCGTCTACAAGGCCTGTTTGTTGCTTACGGTGGAAATGTTGCAATTGCCGCAACTTCGTAGTTGAGAAAAAAATTGAAATTGCTGCAAGGACCGAATAATACGAACTCAAGTGTTTGTAGTATTTTAGATATTTTAGGCTTTCATGTTATTTATGCTTTTTATGATATTTTGTGGTATTTATGGTATGTATGGTATTTTAAGTACTTACAGTTCTGATGTTTTTGTCGGCGTGTGGATTCTAGAATTAAAAGGATCTGTATTTCCGACGAGAGCAGTAGTAAAATAATTTCGTCGAAAAGCTGCCGAGCAGTGTAGTGGGGGGGAAGGGGGGCAGTGGGTAGTGAGAGTGAGTAGAAAAACAACATTTCGGGTCTCTATATTATGGGACGGAAGGAAACTATGTGTGAAATTCTTCTTATGTACATGCTTCTTACGTAATGGAACAATTTTTCGGGGAAAGTATAGACAAATATAAAGGATGATGATTGTCACTGCTGCTATTCTGTTACGCGGACGGTCGAGCTAAGCTTGACATGTAGAAATCAAGTCGACATTATGCATAATGGACTGACTTATTTGAGCTTGATTAATAAAGTATTGTTTACGCTGCGACATTCAAATGAATTGAATTATGTCAGTAGAATTGATATTAAAGATGCGCTTTCGATTTTAAAAACCTTATGACAGAGAAAGTTTAAGCTGAAAACGGTTTAAAAAAAGATAGAGTCTTTAGTATGGGTTGAAGTGCCTGTGATCGAAGTCTGAGATTGACCAGATCATTCTTCCAAGGGTTCGTAATGTGATTGGATTGGAACCGCTCGTAGTTAAGTATTATTTATTAGCTACAAGTATCATTATAAAGTGTACTTTTTTGGAAGCATTTGCGGTAATACTCCTGTCTCGGCTAAAATCTATCCGAACATTTTAGGAAAAACCCCATTAAGATGAAAACGCTTTTGTGTATCAGACTAGATTGTACTTTGTAGTCCATAGTTTTCTTCATAATAGACTACTTTTAACGCAAAATCAAAACTTTTTTCAAAGAATGACTACACTACAACTTATTGTACTAATCGGAAAATACAAAATTCTTCTCACTCTCACTTTTTAGCGGAGCTACCAACAGAAAGTGGATTTCTTTACAACGATAGATAGCTAGAAATTTCTACAAGCCTAAAGTACACGAATAAATGCACACTATTGCTGTTTCTTGTTTTGCGCTTGCAGCTTTGGCACCGACGTCGCCTAGCGAGGTTGTATACAAGTGGAAAGGGATCCGTTTTGAACATCCAACTTAGAATTGCGCGTCAAAAATTAGCCAAGTAAAGTAAAACTAACGGTCATCACCTCTGAAGATCAACTACTACGCTATCATTACTTCTCATTGGTGTACCTACTTAGTCCGTACTAAAACCATTCGAAAACATGGATTAATATTTTATCCAATTCGATTTTAAGAAACTGAGTCGTATACATAGCGTAAATGAACCCAAACGTTGTGAAATTTAGTTCTGTATATTATCCGCCTTTTGATATTAACGGCTCTGAGACTTCCTTTTTTTACTTATGTCGTTGAATCATTTGTTTCACTGACTTTCTCTCGTCTTCCGGTACGTTAAGAGAGCAAGGCCCCAATCCTCCATTTTTGTATCTCTGCATTCAACGTAAATAAAATCAAAAAATCTGCATGATAACGATGATATAGATATGTATGACGTTGCCGATCTAATCTGAGCGATGATTCGCAAAATATCATTTGAAGTCTAAGTTTTACGCGATTGACAAGTGTGTGGCTGATAAAAGGCTTTTCCTTGTAATTTTCACACATCAGAATGGGTCTGCTTTGCGCTTTTGGTTTAAAACATGTTCTCTGACGTTTGTCCTATAATTTACTTTAGATAAGTGTATTCTACAGATATCTCTGAATAGTTTTTTTATAAGTAATTGTTATTGATATTATCCAAACTGTTCAGACTTTTTTGTTCCGACTTTCGTGTATTAACGTTTTCTTTTTTGTTCTAGGCCAAACTATTCTCGGATGAGTATACACTATTCTCAATATTAATATTCATTATTTTTGTTATTTTATATTGCAGTCGTAAGGATACGACAATGACAAATATGTTTTTACACTCATGTCAACTGGAGGACGTTTATCAGCGTATGGATCTAAATAAAGAACGAGCGTCAGACGAACAAATTAATTTAACAACAATATTGACACCATTTGAGTATTCAATGTTCGATGAATACGAAAAACAATGTTTTACAGCCGAATATTTGTTTTTTTCTATGTTGCCAGCCATAAGTCGTTGTAGTCAGAAATCAGGTAGTGCTAAATCGCAGCATATTAGTGAAATTATTCACTCAGCAAAAGCTACACAAAAATTATTCTCATCTACATATATTACTACATTTCCAGTTGGAAGAAATAATGGGAAACGAGAAGAATCATCCATTGTCGAAGAGCCAAGTATCGTCAGTTTGCTAAATTATCTTCAGCAAGGTGACAAACTTTTGGCAAATGCTGAAATTGATGCGTATTTCGATAAAATCAGATTGTACAATCAGTTAAGTGCCACAGCCACTGAAGGTGGCTCAAGTTTATGTTAGCATTTGATTGGATTAGAGATTTTAGCCGTCAAACTGGATCATCAACTCTATCAATCAAAACTGCAAAATTATCGCTCATTGGAGGAACAACGGGTTGCATATTGGCATTACTATTGATGAAAGTCATTAAATTAACAGGGTTTGAAGGCGTGTTCAATAGAATGTTGTATTTATGCATGAAAAAAAAGGGGGGTACGACCACAAGATAAAAAGGGGCCAAGACAAGATGACCGACCGTCAATCACCAATCTGAATATTGTTGTTCACTGCTTTGGTTCATGCGAGTATCGTTTTGCACAGAATAAAGATGGTCGGCCATTACTTGAAAGAGAAAATTATAACGAAAATGATGTATATGAATATGATCAAGAAAATAAAAATCAAGGTTAGTATTAAAATAAAAACTTCATGTTCTTTTTATTAAGGGTAAATAATTATGTGCTGTTCCAGAAGAGAAAAATATGGAATAATGATTATAACATTGACTCATTTATTTTTCTTTGTGAAGACATTTTTTAACATGGTTTGCTTTCGTTGTTTATATAGTTATGTTTTTGTTTTCTGTAGATGATTTATTGTTAAATATAGTTTCAATGCGTGAATCAATGTCATTGACATCACCTAATTCTCCGCTTCAAAGAAATGAAGATGAAGACGGTACAAATAATAAGTTTAGTGCGTATTATTATGTCTTCAATACCACCGCTAACGAAACTGACACGATACCATATGTTCATACTCGACATTATCGTGATATTTTAGCGAAAGCAGTCGTTATTTATCCATAATTATGTGTTAATATGCAATTATTCAGAAATTCGATGGCTGTCCTCGAAGCATTGGAAGGAGAATATCAATTTCAAGATGGGATCAAAACAGTGGAACAATTCCATTTGAATTTATTGAGAAAGTGAAAGATAAAATTAATGAAATGTTCCTTGCAAAAGCAAAAATAAATGAAAATGGTTTAAAAATCTTGTATGTAACAAAAGACGTTTGTGTTGGTGCAAAAACATATTATAAACATTTACAAAACATTTCGTTTGAGTTATTTAATATAAATGAAGGTGGTCTGCTTGAAGAATCGCCAATATTATCAGAATCAACAAAACTAAAACAAAATGCATTCCCTTACGTAATCCACCCTATTGTCGTTGGCCAAGTTCGATCAAAAATAAAAAAGTACGGCTATAAAGAATTATTGAAATTGCAATTTAATATATTTAATAAATCAACGTTGAATAGAAATAGAATATTAGGAGATGGACCATTAAGAAATATTTCACCGGATATCATTGATCAATTGTTATTAGACTTGGGCCGCCGAGATTTATTGGTAAGAGGACTTGACAAATGGATCCAGGGTCAAACAGGTTCATATGATAGTTGTATGAGAGCGAAATCGCCACCACCCGGATATGAACGAGATCTGTTCGAATCGCATTTGTTGGTTTACAATATTCCAATTGAAGAATATAACAACGTATATATACAATCATCTCTACCCGATTTTTATCATTTAACTGATGCAGCAGTTTTGTTCTTTGATACACATTTGTCGTACGCATCTAAATACCATAAATATTCACTTGATTTGAATAATATAATCAATCAAAAACTAAATGACGGAATAATAATATATAATACAGTTACAAATACTTATGAAATCAATCAAAATGGTCCAAATTCAGAGAGTGATCAATTATTAGTTTCATCAGTAGCTGCTTCGGTGCAACTGATTGATTCATGGGCAGATCAAACTTCAGAATCAACAACACTCAGATGAACCTCCACTTCAAACAGTATCTAATTTACAGAGTGCTGATCAGCTCGATTCATTTGCAATAAATACATTATTTTCAGGAGATGAAACAACAACCGAGAGACAACATCCGAGTTTAGTAATTGATAAAAAGAAACGTAAGTTATTATATAGAAAAGACAAGAATGATTTCACACTTCTTGCACCTATTATTACAGACGACGAAAAACAAACCAATAAACAAATTCATTCTCGAAACCAAGAGAGTCGTTTAATAGGTAACTTTATTCAGCTATGAACAGATAATAAAAACCAATTTCTATTTTTTCCTTGTTATTACAAATCTTCATTTATTTTTTCCTTTTTTATTAGATCCATTTGTTGATATTAATAGTCGGAAAAATGACTTACTCCAGTACCTATTGACAACATTAACGATTAACGGCGAAACAATTAGAAGCTATACCGTATAATTTATTAGATTCATCAACAATTTCAGTCCATAGCGGAAATAATTCTTCCGGTAAACATTGACGCCAATACGCTCAAATTAATAAGCCGAATATTTTTCATGATGTTTTTTCTGTTGCAAATAGCCGACTCTGTCAATTCAAACGATCAACACCCAGTACTCGAAGAAATATTTTGATTTGTTAAACGTTGATCACTAATATTGAGAGCTACATATCTCAAAAACTAAAACGGATCTTTTTCTAGAAAATGCATCAGCATATAGTACAACTTGTGCACTTCAAACTAGTATAAAAAGTAGAAAAGGATCCTGTCTAGTTAATTTAATTTTAATTCGCGAAGTTGCTAGAATATAGAATGAACACTGCTTCTTTTAGACATAATAAATCACTATCTACATTAAAATAGAAAAATTGTTCTTTTCTCGATTTCTTGATTTCTATGTTCACTTCTATAAGCGCGAAGAAGGAAGAAAGATCAAACAGATGGCTTTCTTTCAAGTTGGAAGGTGAACTAGGTTGTACTGTAGTCTGCTATCAAGCCAAGTTCTAGACTACAAGCTCGTAAATGCATTTTTAAATTTTATTTTTGATGCCGAATCAGACGAAAAATTCAAAGTGAAATGTAGAGAAAATGTAGGCATTTTTCGGGTAGTTCAGCAGCATCATGAGTCGATTCTATTATTAGTCTATGTAATACTTGAACAGACCCACTATGACAACGGTGGCGATAAAGCACTCTTACCATTTGTTTAAGACCATATTAGCAAGTGATAAGGCCAAAGAGAACATATATATCACCTATAATTAATTAGCACAGTTAATATGTTCTTTGATATGTTATATATAAGAGTTAATAAAAGTAATCTATTGAAAAAAATGATTAAAATGGATAAGAAAAGATAGATTTTATATATTTTCTCTCTTATACAAGTGATTTGTTCATAGTTTTGACGTCTTCCCTAACTACTGAAGGAAGCGAAACCTGGTTAAAAACTTGCAGAATTTTCCCAGATAGGCGCCACCACCTACTCTGAAGGTTTAAGCGAGAAACTTCGATATCGATTGAACAACTTATTCCATCAACGGCTGTATATACCGTGTAATTGCACTTAACAAGTTTTTCAAAGCTCTCTCTACTAACTGTGAGTTAGAATCAAAACAAAAGCGATGGAGTTGTTCATGCCTCTCCGACATAATATACTTGAAAATAAGTTTCAGTAGTTGGGAAACAGAATGTTTCCACTCACGTTCTCCAAAAATTACATGATCCTCCTGAAATTTCTCGTGGACATACTAATACGGCAGTGCATGCCGAGCTATATGGGATACATGCATTTTTTTAAAAAAGCCGTCTTCTTTATCCGTCGTAGTAGTTGAAAAAGATGACTTTGGCACAGACTGCGGTTCAGCTTTTAATTTTTCAGAATATGCAAAAACGGGCTTTTAATGTACGTTTGTAACTTCTATAAAATGTTCAAAACGTAAACCACTAGCACCTTATATATATTCCAAATGAAGGTTATCTATAGAACTTTACAACGATAAAAACTTTGAGCATTTTATTTTTAGCAGCTTTTGACTATACAAATCACCAACACTTGCACTATCGTGTAGTGATGCTAAAAGTCTTCCATTTGTCGCCTTAGCCAGTGGCCGTTACCAATAACATTCGCGACTTTCCATATTGTTTATAACTGATATTATAATGAAGTTCAAACTAATGACATGGTGTTGCCACTGAACCTTCTTTAAAATCATGACCAGAATAATTTGGTTACTAACGTTTCGGAAGAAAACGTCTTATTTGATAACAATCACTAACGGTTCAGTCCCAAACTCAAATTCTACATTTATTGTCACACAATAAACCATTC